GCAAATCTGCTCGATGTCACTTTGGTATTAGGGTGGGCCTGACATGGTTGATGATATTTTCAATTGCCTCATATATAGGTGAAAGTTGAGCAAGGAATAAACAGAAGAACCGAGGCATTTGAATTACGGTGTTGGAGAAGAATACACCATATACCAACGGCTTCCAAAAGAACAAGCAAGTCTGTCTTGGGAGAAGTAAGCCAGACTGCTCCTTCGAAGGGAAGATGGTGACACTCTGTCTCACGCGCTGTGGACGGAGCATCTGGAGGGATCAGTTCCTCGAGAAGGACAGCATGCTCGGTAGAGGGTCAGCCAAAAAGTGAAAGACCTTCAATGAGAGGGACTGATAGTGTGGCTGCAACAATGGGCTCAAACATCACAATTCTGAGGATGGTAGGGCACCAGGCAGAGTGGTGTCTGCTGTCCAAAGGGGTGCTACATATTGGAACAGACTAGACAGCACTTAACAGCATGATCCAGCAACCCCAAACCTAGGTATAGCTCCTAATGCAAATCCAATCCAGTGCCACTGATACGGTTCTGACTCATAAGATACCCTACAGTGCAAAGAACTTCCTCCTGGGTTTCTTTCCAAGGCACAGAAAGAAAGCACACTGCCATATCCTTCTCCCACCAACTCATTGGTAGTTTCAAACCACTAACCTGTCAGCAGTTGAGGGGTTTAACCACACTGCCACCAAGGATCCCTTAAAACCCACTGCTACTGAGTTGATTCCCTCATAATGACCCTACAATAAGGTGACCAGATGTCCTGATTTTTAACAATTTTTCCTGCGTCCCGCGGTATTTTAAAAAAGTCCCTATTTTTGGAAAGAATGCACAACAAGCTAGGGTGTAAGGTTTTCGGTTGCCATGTGGCTATTTCACCAGGATATGAGTTTTATCAATGCTGCCCTGCTTTACCCTATAAGGCACAGTAGAAACAGTTCAACTTAATGTTTCTGAAACCATAAATCCTTACCAGGGCAATCTGTCTCAGGTTTTTCTAGGGCAGTGGCAGTAGCAGTAGCCCAGTGCTTACCCCACCTTGCCATCCAGGTTCCCTTAAGTATCTATAGACATGTGTGAATGCAAATATATGGGTGCATGCAGATTCATTGAGGACTCAGACTTAACCAAACACCGCCTAAGATGGGTGGTGTGGATCTGAAAGCTCAGGACCATGGTCTTATGGGACAAGTCAGTCCACAGGCACAACATAGGTTCACAAAAACCCTGATCCGCCTCCTGGTGAGGGGAGGAGTGTCTGGGCTCCCAGGAGCTTGTGCTTGGCCAGCCATCTATGATGCAACCACTGGTCTGCACAGTACGAAGGTAACCAAGAGCCCGGCGAAGACACAAGTTTACAGGAGCCACAAGTTCAGCTCCCTCGAGACCAGAAGCAGCAGATGGTATCACCACGCTGGTTCTGACCAGGGTCACAAGAACCAGCCTTGGACAGAAGGAGGAAATTGTGAAGGGAACACAAATATCCCTTCTTTAAAATGAAAAACAAAAAAGAGCCTGAGAAAGTGGAACAGTGGAGAACAGCGACTCTAAGCCCAGTACCAAGCCTATCCCGAGATTATGTTTCATGAAACAGCAGAGTGGCACAGAAAGCAATGGCCATCGCCCAGAAGATCAGTACTGTACTTAAAAATCATCAGGATGAGGCGAAAGGCCAACAGTCTCCCAAAAGCAGATGTAAGAGGGAGGGGCCAGGGAAACCAGTGAACCAGAAAGCAAACTGACAGGACAGGGAAAGAGAGAGACACTGCGATAAATATAACTAATGGGACCCCCAACTCATCATGCATGCTTTTCACCAGAACAGAAACAACAGCAGACTTAGTCACACCCTACTGACTTTATAGGAGCTGTCACTGAGTTATCGTCCAGTCTCAGGTAAGTACACGGCCACCTAGGTTTGAGGTGGGGTGTGTGCACGAGCTCGCAGCCTTATTCTCTAAAAGGCCAGATAGGAAATGTTTTAGGCCTTTCAGACCATCTGATCTCTCTTGCAATGACTCAAGACTGATAGCAGTCACACAAAGTAGTAAATGAAGGAGGAAGGCTCCGTTCTAATAAATTGGTATTTACCAAACTAGGGGGCCAGTTTGCTGACTCCCGAGAGCAGACTACATTTCCCAGCCTCCTAGGTAGGTGTGGCCGAGTGATTAGATCTAGGATTTGAGTGGCATGAAGTGTGTACTGCACCATCAATGGAAGTGCAGTGTTGAAAAGGGCAGCAAGCCAGGAGGAGCCTGGGCTGTGTCACCAGTCAGCCTGGACACAGATAAAACAGAAAAAAAACTGCCTCATTTAAGCCACTCCAATTTGGGAGCCTTGTATGAGAATGGAACCCTGGCGGTGCTGTGAGTTACAGGTTGGGTTGTTAATCACCAGATGGATGTGATTCAAGCCAACTAGCTGCTCTGAAGGAGAGAGCGGAGGCTGTCCGCCTCCGTACAGATTTACAGTCTCAGAGACCTAAGACAAGGTGGATGTGAGTCGAAATCGATTGGATGGCAGTATGTTTTTTGGTTTTCACATTAAAAAAAATAGTCTCGTCTGTTTTCTAATCAATGTGTTTGACAATTAGGAATGACGATAGAGCTTTAATTTATAGATTTAAATGTTTTGTCAATATTTTGTAAAATCATTTCTAAGGATAAGACGGATGTGAATTCAAATGTCTGATTTTCCCAATAGTGCCGCCATCACAAAGGCTCAGAGGGCCTGCTCTGGATCTGCACGGACAGGCTCCTGTGCTCTGAGCAAATGGGCCGCCACAGCTTTCCACACCAGTGTTGATCAAGGCCATCGGCGCCACGGGCGATTTGTCATCTCCCAAACACTCAGAGCAAGTTTCTGAATGCAGTTTCCAGCAATAACAGCCCAGTGAAGAAAGTGTTTTGCCTCTCAAGGTCATTGCTTTGAAGTGAAAGACGTCTCTCTCTGTTCTAAAGATTACTAGGCCCACTGCTGTCCTCACACGTCTGATTACCAAACCTATGGCGGACGGCTCTGTGATGAAGTTTTCCATTAGGACCACCAGCAATGTATTTACACTACAGACACAGCTTCTATTTTTCTTTAGAAGTTACCTTTTTTAAACACATCCATTCTATTTCTTACTGATTTGTGTTCTCATTTAAAAGCTGAGTGTCAAAAGCCAAAACTAAAACACTGGAAATTGGGATAGATGGGAAATTACTACCTATAAACTTGGGATTAACAAATAATTTATGTGTTCTGAGGTTACTAGTTCCTACATAATGAATTGTAGCAATGGTAGAGTGTCTATGAAGATATGAGAAACTGATGAAATAGCCAAAACATCCATTTAAGAGCAGCAAAATATACAGGAAAAACTTCATAGTAAATCACTGTTCAAAATACAGTTTATCCTGACCACCCCCTACCTATCTGGTCCCACACAAGTATAAATCAGAATAACACTTCCTTGGTTTTATTATGAATTAAAAATGGGCGGCGGCTTTGTGTCCTCTTCAAAGGAAAAGCAGACATAACTAATGTTACGGACCAGCAAGGTTACTTGCATCAATTTAGGCCATCGCAACGTACTGAATTAAAATCAAATTTGCATCGTCCAAAGTCAGGTTTTTCTTTATTCCTTCTTAAAAGTGTCCCCCTTCTTCATTTCGCTGACTCACTTGACCATAAACTTCATTTTAAAAAGAAAGGTTTTCCTCCATTTTTCCAGTATACCTTTAGCATCAAAATTTACAGGATCCATTTGAAAGTGCTCTAGTGAAAGGAATCCATCTGGCCAGAGTCAGAGAAATTAAGCACCACTTAGCACATGGATCTGAAACCATGCATTCTGCTTAAAGAAAGCATAAGAGAAAGACCCTGAGTTATTTGTATGAGGCCCAGTGCAACGCCACACTACCGAGGCAAGTCAACAGACGGTGCAGAAGGACAGACCAGAACACATTCTCCACGCCAAGAGGGCCTGCCCGAGCCTGACACTCGGCTGGATGGATAACACCCCTTATCTCGGGGGCAACCCTCGAGTCAGTGGCAGGATTAACATTTGAAACCAGGGCTGTCCAACTCCAAAGTCCACGCTGCTTCCACCAAACTACGTCCAAGATGATTGACCTTCCCTGTCAGCCAGGCCAACAGTAGCTGCTTTCTTAAAGCCTCTCCACTCACATTTCTAGTTTGAAAATTCTATTCCTCACCTTCGGCTCGGTTTGAAAAATAACAAATGGCTTTCGTTCACCCTCTGCAGTTACCCAGCTCTGGCCTTTTCTACTGTGGTGCTTTCTGATAAGAGTATCCTTCTCGGCTTCAGTGGGCTAACTCCTCTTCCTTCAAGCATCTGCAGAGGCAGGCTGGCCTGGCCTCCTGCTTTGTCTGAGTTAAAGAGCGATGCATTCAGTCTTTTCTTCTTTTCCCAGCCATGGAGATGTGTTAAAGTCTCCTTTTTGATTACAGATTGGGTTGGCCTTCTCACCTCCCTGTTCCATGGCGTTTTGAGGAGGCAGTGCACTCCACAACCCTTGAAAACCAGAGAGACCTTGAGTCTCCCCATCATGGGGCCCGAAGACTACATAATGCAGAATGATTTAAAGCTGCCCCCCGCAAGAAATATAATGCTTCCTCTCTCAATACTGAAGATAGCATTTTCCCCAGGAGGAACGTTCCTTGAAGATCTACTTTCAAAGGGCCTGTGGTTTCTTTTGAAAATCTAAAATATGTCTTTAGAGAGGAAAAAAGAAAAAGGATTAAACGTCTGTCTTAGCAAATCTTGTACCAAACAAAAAGAATGAACACATGTACGCAGGTAAGATACTTTACATAGAACCTAAGGATTGTAGGGTGCCAAGGAAAAACGGCCATTTCCTCTTTCTTGTCCATCTGACTGGAAATACGGCCAAAGGGCGTGGTTAGTTCCGTCTGCTGCACTTGACCTCACCTGGAGGACGCTTACACCTGGACGAAAGGGAAAGCCTGGGGCCTGGGCTCACCTCCCAGTGGCTGAAAAGCAGCTGCGGGCTGGCCAGGCCACTCGTCCTCTTCCTGATTTCATCAGCGAAGCCAAAGCTCTCGGCCACAGGCAGCACAGCCTTGATGATGAACATGTCCGTGCCTTCCTTCATTTCTTCTTGAAGCACGCGGCCTTCTCTCTTTGACAAGACAGCATAGACCCGACCTGTGAAGCAGAGATCACGTAAATTCATGGTCTGGTCACATAGCTTGACCCGCATACAGACTCTCTACCGTGCTGCGATCCACTAACGCACAGCTTTGTTCTCAGTAACGTTGGTATACACAGCTTGGAAATCTTTTAAAACCATTTACAGAAAGAAAGGACAAGCAAGCGTGAACTCACTCTACACCCCATCATCCACAGACCATCCTCAAAACATGGCGTGAGAAGCAGGAGAGGACCTTCGGATAATTTCACCAGCTGTGTGTGGGAAGAAGGCCCATGGAAGCCAATGGACTGTGTGGGACTGTGCTTCGTAATAAGAACGCATGTGACTACACTACAGGATGTCACCAACATGACGATGAGGAGGGCATACGCTGTGTGGGTCCAGCAGGCACGCACCTGGCACAATGACACTCTTACACTAAAAAGACAAACCACATGCACATCTACCATGCTTGCTGATAGTTTTCTTGAGGGGATTACATAAGCTTTATTCCCCTGACTGTGGATACTCTTTGGAATCTTTAACGGCTGGTCCCACTTTCCACGGCCACATCTCACGACATCTAGCATGACCTCTTGGCTGAGACCCTTAATTCTTAGATATGCTCATTAAAGCCATCTTTTACTTATGATTATTTATAGAAAAAAATAAGTTCAACTTATATAAGTGCCTGAAGTATGTATTACCCCTAAACAGTAGCAGCATCACAGTTAAAACAGAGCCAATGTCTCCTTTGACCTCCACTCATGCCGGGAGCTGCTTTCACAAACAGGTAGGCAGGGGGCCTGGCATCAAGGCCACTTACCTTACTGGTTTTTACACTAGGAGTTGGGGCCCCAAGCAAAATGGTCTGACTCCTACATTCTGCTGTCTGACTCAGAGTTCCCCCTGGTGGCCATTGAAAAGATAAAGGGATATAAATAGTAGAACATAATGGTCACAAGGCTTTAAAAAAGAAAAACCAAAAGTGTGACAGTGCCTTCCTTTTCATGTCGGGGCGCAAAAACAAGCAGCTCTGGCAGCGATGCAAGGAAGCGTCTTCTCTAGTCCTCCAGCTAGCGACACCCCTCCCGCTCTCCCCCTTTTCCTAAGGGAGCTGCCCACTGCTTAACTGGGAGCTTTGTACTACTTCTCCAATGCTGCTTCGTACCCCGCATTCTCCACAACTCCTGGGAAGAATTTGAAGGTATGAATCAACAAGTCCTCTACCAAATCTCCGTGGTCTGACTCCTCCTTCTGATGCTTCTGCTGGTCCTCTGATCACCAATCTGTTAACTTTACGAATTCCTGCTCGTTCTTGCTGCGGAACTTCACGGAGGCTGATGCTCTTTACTGAACATGCTCCCCCCCCAGAGAGCCTGCTTACTCACCCTTTGTTTGGTTTCAAGCACTGATTTTGTGCCAGCGCTCCTGGAACGCTCCTGGAACTCGACAGTCAAGTTAGGCTCCTCACCTGGCCCATCAATCCCATACTCACGAGGACGGCCAGAGCACCTGTCACCAGGGAGCCCAGCTTCCTCTGAGAGAGAGTCCACTGCCTTCTGCAGAAGGCATGTCCATTCTCCCAATGCCAGTCACTTACTCCTCTTAGTCATCCTACTGCAAACTTCTTGAGCTACGCAATCAGAACAATCATTTAGAAAGCTCAACCGCTAATTGCCAAGTTAGTCATTTTAACTCTGTTGACATGCTTCTCAAACCCACTTCCTCCCGGGGATGCTGGTTCCATCTCTGGACAGCCTCAACTGGGAGACAATCCTCAGCCCCCGACCTGTTCCCTTCAAGTTTCTGATCCCAGTTTTTGCCAAACAGGACAAGCTTGATTCCTCTGTAGACCAGTTTTTAACCCACTAAAAGATACATATCTCACTCTCTTCTCCAGACTAGACACCTCCTCTCTTTGGGTGACCCGGGCCTTGGTTCCTTCTCCTATGCTGGTCACTTTCCTAATCTGATTTCTTTATAGGCATATGGTATCCAGGACTGAAAATAGTACAGCAAGGAGAGTCGGAAAAGTTCTCCAAGAAACAGAACAATTATTATGTTCACTGGTAATCAATCTTCCTTAGGCTGTGCATTGTCTGAGATTTGAGGAGGAAAAAACATACTGTAAGAACAAACATGTGAACGAGTAATTTTTCTTTAGCCTGCTACTTCATTCGAAGAAGAGTTTTCAGGTGGTTGATGGAGGTGCATATATAGTAACAGGAGAGACAGAGTGAGGGAACTGGGGCAGATGGATCATGAATGGGTGGGTGAGGGGTCCAGTCACATGACTGATGCTTCGGGATCAGCAGCTTCTCCTTCTCTCTGGGTAAAACCAGGGGGGCTTGAATCTATCATTGTTCTAGAAATGGAATGTAACTAAATCATGTCATTTTCAGCCATTCACTTTTAATTCCACTAAAAGGACATCTTAAAGTGAGGGCAGAGTAACAGACCACCAAACAGAGGAGCAGCGCTTACAAAACCTTCCAAATGCGCTTGGGTCTCCCAATAGGTGTTTCTACTATTTGGATGCATTCAGAGATCCTCCAACCCCACCACTGTCATCACCTAGAAATACTGTCCACAGGTCAACAAGGGACATCTTCCATCATGCCACACTCCTTCATTTGCTCTTCATCTAAAGAAAGGTCACTGCTTGCCTTACTACACATACGGTACCAGCACGAGGGATCCATCAGGGAATAAACAAACAAACAAACAAAAAAACAGCAACAAACAGATGAAGATGCATTCTATTCAGACACTTACAAAAATTGGGACCTGACTTTTAATGACTCCGCTATGTCCCTGGTGATGCCGTGGGTAAACATTCAGCTGCTAACCCCAAAGTCAGCTGTTCAAACCCAGCAGGAGTTCCCAGGGACAACACCGTGGCAGTCTGCTTCTGCAGACTGTAGAAACCCCACGGGGCACCTCGATTCTATCTCATAGGGCTGCTCTGAGCCGGAATCGACTCGATGGCAATGGGTCTGGTTTGGCTTAGAAATAAATGTCCCAGCCTGTATTCATGGCTCTCTCTGACCTGGCAGTGACCAACCACTTCAGTTCCTCTGTCTGACATGACAGACCTTGTGTGTTAGCCAAGGCAACCACTCACTGCTCACGGTACACCTCTGAGGATTCACCACCTTCTATCTCGAACACTACATTCACATCTTCTTCTTCCTTTCAGGCTTCTTCAAAATCAACTTGTTCTACCAGCTTCCTTGATGCTTGAACTGAGAGCAACC